GTAAAGCTACATTAACAGAATCTTGCAAGTCTGAAAATACAATTCTCCCGCTGTCTCTTTTACAGCCTGAGAAACTAACCCTTCTGAGCCTCTTGCCCCTCCCACTATCCAGCTGCGGGCTATGCTGTCTCTTATCTGACCATTCCCTGGGCAGTGTCTCTTCGGCCCGTCTCCCAAGGTCTTTCCCATGTGCCACTACACTTCCTTTGCCCAGCCATTTCTTTGTGGCCTTTCTTCCTGAGGAACTGCATGGGCCTGATCATTGTGCTCCTGCTGTGGGTCTTCCAGCAATCCTGTGGGCCTGGGCCAGGACTTTGAGGGAGCCAGTGGCACCCCCTCTTTATTTTTGCTCCTGTCTGTTTCTAGGCTTCTTTGGAGACCTGCTGTCTTTGATCTGCCAGAACTTCTCCATGGTCGACATGGTGATGCTGCTTCACGGCCAGTTTCAGCCGCTGCAGCGGATTCAGCCCCAGCTGAGCCGCTTCTTCCGGGAAGAGTACCTGCATGGCCAGGAGCCCACCGACCGCAACGTCCGGGTGAGAGGAGCTTCTCCTAGCCGGGATGTTCCTTTTCCAGCTCTTTTTCTGCTGCTCCTCGCTTGCATGGGCTAATAACCGCCCTCTCTTTTGGCTCTTTCAGATGGCCACGTACAATTTGATTAATGGCTTGGAGGAGTATGTCCGGGAGAGTTTTGTAAGTTTGATTCCACTTTCCTTTCTCTGCTTTTCCGGGGCTGTGTGGTTTGGGCTGGGGAATGGAAACCAACCTGCTGCTCTGCTGTTCAGCCGCCTCTTCTTACTCTGCACATCTGTCTACCTCTGCAGTGCAATGCAGAAATTCCCTAGAAGTAAGTTTGCTCCAATTTTCCAGGTGCGCCATGTTTTTGTGAGGCCCCCAAAAGCAGTTGTGATACTCTGCATCAGTGCCCCTAAAGCTGCACCCACCAGGACTTTTCCCTCCTGTTTCAGGACAATAACCCTGATTTGGTCTTGGTCTGTCACCTGTTTTTTCCCTAGGCCTCTGTCCAAGTTCACGATGGGGTTGACATTACCCGCACCAATCTGGAGTTCCTGCAGGAACAGTTCAACCGCATTGCCACGCATATCTTGCACTGCACTGGTAGGAAGGTGGCGGCATTGGGAAAGGCTTTTCCAGAGAGAACTCTTAACTTGCCTTTCTCACGTTTGCAACTTTTTCTTCTAGATCACACCTTCGGATACCGACTGCTTGAGCTGTGTAACCAGGGCCTCTTCGAGTGCTTGGCGCTGAATCTTTACTGCTTGCGAGGGGAGCAGACGGCCCTCACCACAGTCATCAATGACCGTATTGTGAGTGACAAACTGGGCAATTGCCCTATTTTGAGTAGGGTCTCTTGAGGACCTGGGAACTCTTTTGTGTAATCTGGGGATGAAGCTGCTACCTACCTCTATTCTGGAGAGTGCAGGCAAGGGAGGGGAGGCTGATGCACTGTGCTGCGATGGTGCTTGGCGAGGATGATATGTCTGAAGTCAAGTTGGGAAGTCAGTGCAGGTGGTCCACCACTTTTAAAGACCATTTTTGGTTCCTGATTCTGATAATTCGAAGAAGCTTTTGGAGTGTGGCCAGTAGCACCAGCTTTGAAAAGTGTTTTATGAACCAGGAAACTGGCCCTGTTACTTGTCCAGGCGTGTGGCTATCTGTAAGGTCTTGCACATTTGCTGGAAACATCTGCCTTGTTGGGGATGGCTGCTCATTTAGGCTGGGGATTGACAGCAAAGGCTGTTTTCTTTTCTTCTCTTTCCTGGCACCAGAGGCGGATGTCAGCAGACATGAACCCGTCCTTGGTGAGCTGGCTCACCACTATGATGAGTATGCGCTTGCAGGTCATCCTGGAGCACATGCCAGTCACAGAGGAACAGATCTTGCCATATGTCCGCAGGGTGGGCGACCTCCCACAGGTAAGATTTAAGGGACATTATGAAATCAGTGGGATAAAAGAGCAGGAAAAGGAATTCCTGGAGCTTGTGGACTGACCGGTAAGGTTCGGGGCTCAGAGGTGACTGCACAGTTGAGTCTTTCTGTAATCTTCCCACTGGAATTGGCCCAACTTCAATTGTACTCGGAGAAGTGGCTGCTTGTTCTTCATTTGGGGGAGGTTGGGGTGGACAACGCCTGGAAGTGTTTTTCGGTGACGCGGCTAGCCCTCTGGAGTAGTCTCACGTTGGAGGTCCATCTGCTTCCAACATTATTTTTCTTCCAGAAAAAGTTGAAAACAGCTTTTCCAGAGGGTTTTTGGGGTCTGCCGTGTATTACTTTGGGATGTTTTAACATATTTGTAAGATTTATGATTATGTTTTGTTTATTATAGTGAAGTACTAAGGGTCTTCTATGATTGTGGTGGGATAGAAGTCAGACCAATCAATAAATAAACAAGCCAGCATCATTAGTAGCATGAGCATTGTGATAATGGAGCATGTGTGGTCAGGTGTGGTTAGGAAATTGTTCACAGAATCCAGAGAAAATTTGGAGTGCATCATTGCTATGGTGACCATATTTTCTTGGAAAAAATAAAGGACAAACCTGAAAAAGGGGCAAATCTG